TTAAATTCCAAAAGCAAGCTTTCAGGTCTTGCTCCTTTCCTAGATGAGAATTTGATATTGCGTGTTGGTGGTCGCTTAAAGTATTCGGACTATGATTTTAATAAGCGACATCCTATTTTGTTGCATGCAAAGCATCACTTCACAAAAATTCTATTTCAAGATGAGCATATTCTTTTGCTACACGCTGGTCCGAAATTACTCTTGAACTTTATAAAAAATACCTATTGGCCTATATCTGGTCGCAATTTGGCCCGCTCCATTGTGCGAAAATGCGTGCGTTGTTTTAGATTTAATCCAAAGGTAGTTCAACCAATAATGGGTAATTTGCCTCGTGCAAGAATTGTACCTTCCAGTGCATTTGCAGTAACAGGGGTTGATTATGCGGGACCGTTTGTCATCAAAGATAAACCAGGTCGCGGTTGTAAAACCAGTAAATGCTATATTGCTTTGTTTATTTGTTTTGCAACGAAAGCGATACATTTGGAGATAGTCTCCAGCCTTTCGTCAAAATCGTTCATTCAATCTTTACGCCGATTCGTAGCTAGAAGAGGAAAACCTTCTAAAATGTTTTCCGACAATGGCACCAATTTTGTCGGTGCACAACGCGAACTTTCAAATTTTATTAATTCGACTTGTACTATAAACGATATTCAAAATTATGGCAGATCTCAGGGAATAGAATGGAGTTTTATTCCTCCTCATTCGCCCCACTTTGGGGGTTTATGGGAAGCTGGGGTTTCGAGGAAGCTGGGGGGAAGCTGGGGTTTATGGGAAGCTGGGGTTTCGAGGAACTCGCCACCATTTGCACTCAAATAGAGGCAATATTGAATTCTAGGCCTCTGTCTCCTCTCAATGAGGATCCCAACGATCTAACTCCCTTAACTCCCGCTCATTTCCTTATTGGCAAACCAATGGTAGCTGTCCCAGACGAAAACGTAATGGATTTAAAGATGAATCGATTAAACCGTTACCAGTTGCTCCAACGAATGTGCCAACATTTCTGGCAAAGATGGAAGAGGTTCATTAGTCCTTCTAAAAGAAGAGGATGCCTATCCCACTCAATGGCACATGGGCCGCATCGTAAATTTACATCCAGGTCGTGACGGCATTGCTAGGGTCGCGACGATAAAAACCTCCAACGGGTTGGTCAAACGAGGGTTCCAGAAGATATGCCCACTACCTCTACATTGTTGAAAGTGCGTTCTTTCAAGGCGTGGGGCATGTTCCGGCCCACGGTTTGTAGAATAATACGGTTGTCTCGTAACTTTTTAGCCAATCACGCACGGTATCTCGTCACAAGAATTCGAGTTGCAAATTCCGAGCATCTCAAGTGTAATGAAATTAATGTTTTTAATAATATTTACAGGGTAAAATATTATAAAAATTGAGACAATGGACAGGAATAATAACTAATAAAAGTATATTTTCCATAAATATATTAAAATTTAAAAGGAGACGGGTATTTTTTGAATTAAATGATAAATGGTTTATTTGTGTACCTATTAAACGGTACATATTATTATAGTTATTTCGGGCCTTAAATTCTTAAATAAAACAAAGTATTACGACAAAATATATTTATATCAAAGTAAATATAAATAAACATTATAAACATATAAATAAACGAGATATATAATAAATAAACGATATGAGATGAAACGAATAAATATGAATAAACGATTTTAATTTTATTAAGTGCGGATCTGTAATTGTAATTTTTGTTGGTTTATGTGAATGGTAATTCAAGTTCAATAGGTCTATTTCAAGAATTTTCATGCAAGTGTTAAGTAAATCTGGTTTTATTAAAGAAAAAATAATTAAAATCCCTTCAATTACAATTTACATGGACCAAAAATCTCATAATGTTCATTTTAACGTTTAAATTTTAGTAGAAAAACGGCATGCGGGAAAATAAAAAGTTGATGAATACATTCAGTTTTTTATGCTCTTTCTGAATTTGAAATTAAATTTTTAAAAATATGATGTATAGGGTGTTGTTTTAGGGTCGGTCAAATTTTATTAATTTTTCTAAATCCGGACCTGGATTTTGTAATTTTTTAATGTGGCAATAAATTGTACTTTAGTATAGAATATCTATGCCAAATATCAAAAAAATATACTGAGTGATTCAAAAGTTATAGGTGTCGAAAGAAATGGGCCAAATTCAAAAAACACCCGGTTATAACTCGGTTATAAAGGGCGGAAGATCCATAGTATATGGGTTTTTTGTAATCCCCTGGGTGACCTCTATACAGGGTTAAAATATTGCTCTTTCCCAATGAAACACCCTGTATTTACCTGACTCTCCGCGATGAAAGAAATATATAATGTTTAGAACAAATTAATTATTGAAAATAGTCTGTAAATAGTCTGATATACTACTAAGAAGTTAAACACAATAAAAAGAAAACACGAAAACTCAAAAAACTTCAATAGAAACCACAATTAACATCAACAAAAAAAGAAAACTACGAAGAAAACTACGAAAACTCGTAACGATTAGTAGGCTCAAGTAAACTCTAGCATACTGGTGACGTATTCTCCCCCACTTTTGCCAGCAAAGTGAGGTAACCGTATTATTCTACAAACCGTGGTTCCGGCCTGCCTAACTTGGGGCCTGCACAGTACTTCCCGGCGTACAATTTGCGGACTTTCCGTCCTGGATAGAGCACCGTGAGCTGCGCGCGTTCTACCGTCTCGCCTAAGGAATTCGGGTGCGAGACGGCACAAAAAAAGACTTACTTGTTCGTTCTCATCGTGGTTGCGTCGCCGATTTTCTGCACGAGCACGTGCAGCGACCGCCATTTTTACTTTGAACTTTTCTGCTCTTCGTTTTAATTTAAATGTTGTTAAAAATAGTTTGTACTCAACAATAAACGTTCAACACAATCAACAAATGCATTTAGTAGAAGATGCGGTTAAATATAAGTACGTAGTAGAAGATATAAATTATTTTGCGTTTGAAAATTACTTAGGAAACTTGAAGAAAATGTTACGAACACCAAATAAACCGTTAGCGAAAATATGCAAAAGAATAGCAGAAGAAAATTCAATTGATAATTTAATCCAGGATTAAGCTAATTCTACTACAGCCATTACGTATAAAAAAAATGAAGCAGTTGAAGTGAAATGGCAAAATATGTTTATTAACTCGCAAGTCGAAAAAGAGTCCTATGTTTTTCTGACTAATGCCAAAGTTATGAAAGTTAAAAGGATAGAAGCTAAGGGCGATGATCATATAATTCTTTCTGGTTCTATATTTTACAAAAGTAACACAATATTTGAATCGCCTCTTCCTTCATCAATCTTAAATATCGTAGAAGTCAGTCATTTAGGTCAGTTTCAATTTTCTGTCACATTAGAGGAAGTGTCTACAAAGTGCATGTTATTTCCAATAGAACTTGATGTAAATTCAAGGTTTCTTGCTGTAGGCCTTTTGCATGAAAATTATTAACGACTTTCTACTAAACCATTATTATATTATATTTAAAACCATTATACATTATGTATACGATGAAAACCCTTCATTTTACGATAATATACGAATTCTCCATAAAAATTAAAACAAAAACAAAATTTGACTTTAAATTTAACTTTAACTTTCTATTGGCGCTAATAAATCCATGCATGTCTATCCATGCAAACTTTCACCGTATATTCTTTGATTTTTTGGCCATTTTTCCACGCAAATCGCATTTCTTCAAAATGCTATTTCACCAAGTTATAGGGAAATGAAAATTTGCCGAAATTAAATTTTTTTATAAATACACTCCGTTTACTCGGAAACTATCAGGTTTTCGAAAAAATGTATTCTTTCAAAATTATTAATTCAAGTTTCGTGCAACTAACAAAACAAACCCGATAACGATATCTTAACCCGTTTCGGAGTTATAGCAAAAAAACTTTGTCGATGCACCGGAGTACGGTAGAAAGGAATTCCCGGTCGGCCGCGGAAGGAGCGGGGATCGTCGTCGCTTTTCCATCGCTCGGGTAAATTGCCGGTGGATTTTGTCGGTTCGGGCCAGCGGCGGGTGTTTATAATCACTATATATATAAAACCCCAGGCGTTAACGATGATTGGCGAGAGAAATTCAAAAATAATTACTTGGGCGTAGAGAGGTAGATGGGGGGACGTAAACGGATGCGCTGATTACGAAAATCGACCTCTTTTCTCCAGCTAAATTCGTTTTCGTTCACAATATCGATTTAAAGTTGAAATTTTTGACACATTTTTCAAGAAATTATTTGATGGACGATTTGCGTTCGTTTAGTTTGAACGGAACTTTATCGCGGTGCAAGATTTTTTCTTAATTCGAACCTTTTAGCCGCTTTCAACGGTTTAAACTGAAAGAGTATACAATAATTTACTAACCTTCAAGTTTTCTCCACATTTTATTGACGAATAACTGAGAAATGTTTAAATTAATATCGAAAAGTGTACACTAATGACAGCGGCAAAGAACCAACCTCACATTGACTGAAAATGTCACTGACGTTTCTAAGGAAACGTCGACGGGACATTTGATGTACAGGGTGTTTTTTCGTTAAGGAAATGTGAAAATTTGATGTACAGGATGATCGCGACCGAGCGAGCGCAGCGAGCGAGGCTCCGGCCCAGTAAACAAAATTACGTTTTTAAGACGTCATTTTTTAGTAAGTTTATAACCAAATGACGTCTGTTTTGGACGTCTTCAGAACGAGTTAATGACGTGCATATGTCACATCATATAGACGTCATAATTAGGACGACATTTAGACGTTACTTAGGACTAAAAAGAAAAGCCTTTTGTACGTAATTGTGACGTAATAATAACTACTTTTTGACCACGATTCGTATAATAAATAGACGTATAAAGGACGTCCAATGACGTCACATGGCAATCGAAAATAACTTTGTAATTATCGGTTAAAGATTTATTATTGTAATAAATAAATAGAATTACAAAAATAAGCATTTATTAAAAACAATATTTTACAAAACCTGTAAATTGTAACGTAGAGAAAACTATAAACTAACATCGATATTGTCGATCAATAATAATCAGCATATATTTAGCTAAATATTATTAAAAATTAAAAAACTATGCTATTCTTTTATGGAATGTACAATTGGAAAAGATATCCATATGTTTGGTTTATAAGGTAACAAAAAGCACTTAGCCTTTACATCGTCCAACGAAAACACAGAGTAATGTGACGAAAGATTGGATACTTTATATATTAATAAGATTTTGGATTGTATAGGATATTTGTAAAACGAACTGTAAGAATTAAATTTTTTACCGACAATGAGGATTCTTCCTAACTGTTTTACAATATTAGTTATTTTGACAACTTCTTTCGTAAGTAAAATACAAAAGCAATCACCTTCACTGTAGTTATATATAGAAAACGTAAGATTCTTACGCTTTAATTGTTTGTACTGTTTGTAAGGTATACTGAGATCCACCAGCGGAACTTCGACCGTCTGATTGTATTCAAATTTTAATTCAATATCTAAATGTGAACCTGATATCTTTCCACTATTAAAAATATTATTTTCAATTAACCTATTATAAATTTCTGCCAATGGATTAACGGTTGATTTAATTTTCCGTTTCAATTGATTCAAATAATTTTCAAAAGGAAAAGCCGAAAAGTTATCTAAAGTGCCATACATTTGCACATCTTCTGTTAAATGTGATAACATATGGATATTGTATATTAAAAATTCAGGACCATAAATATATTCGCAATGTTTAACAAAAATATTTAAAAAATGTCCTGCATCATCGGTTCCAAATAAAGCAATATGGCTATCACAAATTAAAATTGTTGAAGCTACATGAATTAGGAGAAAATGTTCAAAAATTGCAATATCCGTGTACTTTTTAAGGACTAATGGACCCAAATAAAGTAGAAAAGTTCTAAATTCGGTAGCTTTCCATCTTGGTAACTCAGAAAGAGAGCGAGCTTTTCTGTTAAATTCTACAGGAAAGTGCTTTTTAAAGGATAACAATAAACTAGAAACTTCCTTAACGGATTTACTGGGCATTCGAATTGTATGAGGGTAGCCAGAGATCCATGTAGTTAAAAGTTTTCGCATTACTCCGAGGCATATATTATGCATATAATCTATCGGAAACGCATTAATTAAATTAATTGGAAGATTAGTTAAGGGCGATACGCCAGTATGATGATCTTCATCAATGTGCGAACGAAATGATTCGTTTGTACGTTTTCTGGATAATAATGATTTATAAATCACCCTTCCCTTGACGTAATCACCCACAACAAAACACCTTTCACAACAACTATATCCACCATGGGACTTTATACATTTGATGTATGCTCTTGCCGGAGCATCACATATAAATAATATCTCTAGTTTATATACTTTATTTTTATACCTAAATCCTAATGTTAAAAGAGGGTCAAGTTCATCTATTAAATCCTTTAAGAAAGTTTCTAAAGGTTCAGGCTTTGAAGTGCCGTAGAAAAGTGCAATTGGAAACGGAGTATTATTAAGATAGTTGATACAGCCTAAAATTGGCCACAATTGAGAATTAGAGCTTTTGAATAGTGGTAAACCATCTATATTTATTGTTAACTTTAAAACATCTAATTGATAATTGTCAATATTACTTAAAAAGTTATTCAAATATTTATTTAATCCTAAATAAACGAATGTCCCGTTGTTCAATTTTATGCTATTAATATTAGTCGGAGTTTCCAGAAAAGTTCTGCTATCTTTCGGAAGTTTTAAATCGGGAAAAAATTTATTTAAAATGTGAAGTAATTTAGTAATATCTGATCTTGTCAACGAAGGAGATGTGATAGCCCACTGCTTTAATTTATCGACAAATGTTTGCGGATTACAATTATAACTATTACTAGTTGAGTTAATCACAAATTCACAAGATTCAAATATTTCATGAGTAAAACCAAATGTCCGCATTGTGTTCAGTTCTGCAAGACTTGTATTATTACTCAGTGTAGAAAAATCACTATTTGAAGGCACCAAAACTCTATTACTAATTTGTAATGCTGAATTATCAGTCTTTAAAAAGGTAGAAATAATTTCTCTCTTACAAGCATTAATCCTGCGGTATAATTGCCGCTTCCCTATGCAAGTTTTCTTGTACATCTTGTCCGTTACTGCTCTGACGCCTTTCCAACTCGTTTTTTAAAACTTGTGGTGCATGCTTCAACCAACCCTTTATCGCATTTTCCACTTGTGCTGTAGTTGCAGAAGTTGAAATTTTCACAGCATCTATAAAATAAATTCGCAATAAGAATATATTGTTGTAAAAACAAAGTAAACGTCAACTTACTTATTATAACATTACACAAATGGAATTTAGAAAAACTCAATTTGTTGTTTCTTGTTCCTAACCAACTCAAGAACTGGGCCAATTGTAACGCTAGAACACTTTTTAAGATTCTGTTTGTAATACTATTTACTCCATTATTGCCTCCCAAAGACGACAAATAAGAAATCTATAAAAAATAGAAGTTTTAATGATTTAATTAATAAATGATTGTTGTAACTTACCAATACATCACGATTAATCTTCTCGTCCAAGTATTTATCTATAAGATTCAAATCATCAATATTTTTCAACGGAAATTCTGTTGGTAAGTTATCTGGTTTTAAGCATTTAGCCGCCGGTTGACGATAAGTTTGAGATACTACAGTCAAGGTTTGCTCACACAATATTTTTATACTCGCCAAATATTGAATGATTTTGTTTTCTAAATGATCGAGAGGCTGTTTGTCAAATCTTGCTGGTCCAGTAACCATAAATTCAGCAGTTGAGCCGTTTGGTGAAGTAGCCGCAGTGGTGGCCAATGTATCAATAGAAACACCATCTAAATAAAAACAAATGATTATTGCAAATGCTTCAAAAAACAAATCTTTTACTATTTTTTGTATAGTGTACAATTTCTTTCAAATTAATTCAGAAATATGTAATTTAGATTAATTGAATTTATGATTCGGAATTATTAATATTCATTTTAATCTTCTATTATTATGTATTTTTATTAAGAAGTAGATGTACGTATAATTCTATACCTGATTTCGTCGGAGTAACAGAATAAGACAACTTCTTCTCAAAAGCAGTTGGTTTCAATGTACTAGAACAGCTTTTAACTGGATTACTGGTGATGGTATATAGTGAACTGCTCGCTTCAGTGCACTGTGAAACACCACCTAATAATAAAGAAAGTGTAGGATGTGATAAACGAAAATATTTGATAATAATTTGTAACTAGTCACTAGTTTGGCCAAGTAATAAGTTACTTACTTTTTTTTAATTGTACATTCGAAAATTTCTTGATTATCGGTGGTCTTGGGAAATTCGGAGAATGCGTATCACTCTCACTTGAAGATGACTCAGATATTAATCTTCTAGTACTTATTCGTTTCCTGGCCTGGGAACATTGTTCTGCTTCGGACGTTTGGACATCAGAAGTTTCTTCGCATCGCTTTATTTTCTTCTTAGCTTTTTGAAAGTCATCTGAAAAATTTTAATTTAAAATTTACCAAAAACAGTTATATTAGGTATATGTAGGATATTAGTAGTAGTACGATATTATTCTGAATTTTTTCAAATAAAACCTATGTTAGAACCACAAATTCTTCACTAGTAAAAATTATTACAAATGTACCAACTACATAAGAGCAATAAGTAAAATTACAAATTCGCAGAAATACCATGCATCACAAAACAAAAAACAAAATATACAAACCGCATTCAAAAAATCTTCGTTTGATTGAGTGAATAGACCATTTATCATTAGGTTCTTCTCCTGATAACAGAGCTTTATTAAAGCTAACAGAAGTTTTACATGGTGGCCACAGAACTTCGTTCTTCATGGGGGTAAGCCATGAAGAATTAACTAGACTAATTGATCCATTCTCAGAAAATTCTACCCCAACAAACGGCATAATTATTGACCTGTGCAAATTAATACATATTATCAAACTACTACTAGCTAAATTATGTTTATTACAAGCGATTTACTTAATGAATACTAGAAAAAAAACCAGTAGACCGGTAGAATAGATAGAGATACTTACCAAAGGAAAGACAATAATACGAGACTTGTTGCACGTTGCACGTAATGCACTAATTGTTGAACGTTGAACTTGAACATGAATATTATGAATAGGGACTTATAGGGACAACGGAACTAATGAAAGTAATGAAAGATGGATCGCGTCGGCCGACCCGCCGACCCGGCCGACCCGCCGACGCGATTCAGATGGCGAAGCGCACGCATTCCCTCCCATACATCAGACCACCAACGCCGACGATGATTGGTGATTGTTGGTCACGCTACCTGTTACGTGTCGAAAACCGTTAACAACGTTGTCAGATTAATTTTGAATTAAGATTTGAGTTAAGATTAGAAGATGTGAGATTTTCTAACATAAAATATAAAATATAAGAGACATATATTTTTCATCTTTAATCATTACACAGCAATTAGGCGGTTTTCAAAATTTAAAAAATATCATTTTACCTTTTTTATTATAATGATTGTATTAAATTGGCATCACTGTTAAGTTAAGATTGAAACAACTAAATTGAACATTAGACAAGGACAGGCAACATTTTAATTTTAAACATCCAAATTGTTAGATTGGGTTATTTTACAGACATAGTAGGAAAAAATGGGTTTTTCGTAGAACTGGATAATACGCTAAAAATCAAATAGGTAAATTTTTGTCCATTAAGACGTAAATTCGACTTCGTTTTATTTTGGTTACTCAAGAGACGTAAATTAAACGTTGCCAATATGACCAAGTTTGAAACATATTACATATTTTTAAACATATGTACTCTGAAACGAGTAAAGATTAGTTAGATATATTTGATGCCGATATTTGATACCGATAAATAGATCTACAATTGAAAAAAAAAATTATTGGTCTAACCGAAACGTCATTTAGACGTTATATTTAGGACGTACATTTACTTTGGTACTGCGATGACCAAATATAGACGTATTTTTTACGTAAGTCGTCATTCGTCTGTTTGCTGGGGGCTAGCAAACTGTCTTGCGGCGAAGCCGCCACCGTAAGAAAGGGGGGTTGAAAGGGGGCGCAGCCCCCTTTCCGAGCTGACAAGCGAGTCACTATATATATAAAACCCCAGGCGTTAACGATGATTGGAGATCGAAATTAAATTTGAATTACTTGGGCGTGGAGAGGTAGATGGGGGGACGTAAACGGATGCGCTCTTTTCGAAAATCGACCTCTTTTCTCCAGCTAAATTCGTTTTCGTTTACAATATCGATTTAAAGTTGAAATTTTTGACACATTTTCCAAAAAATTATTTGATGGACGATTTGCGTTCGTTTAGTTTGAACGGAACTTTACCGCGGTGCAAGATTTTTTCTTAATTCGAACCTTTTAGCCGCTTTCGACGGTTGAATATGAAAGAACGTACAATAAATTACTAACCTTTGAGTTTTCTCCTCATTTTATTGACGAATAACCGAGAAATGTTTAATATAATTTCGAAAAGTGTACACTAATGACAGCGACAAAGAACCAACCTCACATTGACTGAAAATGTCACTGACGTTTCTAAGGAAACGTCGACTGGACATTTGATGTACAGGGTGTTTTTTCGTTAAGGAAATGTGAAAATTTGATGTACAGGATGATCGCGACCGAGCGAGCGCAGCGAGCGAGGCTCCGGCTAGCAAACTGTCTTGCGGCGAAGCCGCCACCGTAAGAAAGGGGGGTTGAAAGGGGGCGCAGCCCCCTTTCCGAGCTGACAAGCGAGTCACTATATATATAAAACCCCAGGTGATATAGACTGATTGGCGACAGAAATTCATTATGAATTACTTGGGCGTACAGAGGTACATAGGGGGACGTGAAAAAATTCGCTGATTACGAAAATCGACCTCTTTTTCCCAGCTAAATTCGTTTTCGTTCACAATATCGATTTAAAGTTGAAATTTTTGACACATTTTCCGAAAAATTATTTGATGGACGATTTGCGTTCGTTTAGTTTGAGTGGAACTTTACCTTAGTGTAACTTTTTTTCTTAATTTGAACCTTTTAGCCGCTTTCAACGGTTGAATATGAAAGAACGTACAATAAATTACTAACCTTTGAGTTTTCTCCTCATTTTATTGACGAATAACCGAGAAAAGTTTCAATTAATATCGAAAAGTGTACACTAATGACAGCGACAAAGAACCAACCTCACATTGACTGAAAATGTCACTGACGTTTCTAAGGAGACGTCGACGGGACTTTTGATGTACAGGGTGTTTTTACGTTAAGGAAAAATGAAAATTTGATGTACAGGGCGATTTTATATTAAAAAATTGATATACGGAATGTTTTTTTATTTCCAAACGAAATTCCAATCGCACCGAGCGAGCGCAGCGAGCGAGGATCCGGCCAGGTGAGTGTCATGCGGCGAAGAAGGCCGCAGGCCTTCGAGGCGCTATGTAAGGGGGGTCGTAAGGGGGCGCAGCCCCCTTACAAAAAAAAAAACATAAAGAGAAAGGGGGGTTGTAAGGGGGCGCAGCCCCCTTACTAAAAAAAGAACGTAAAGAGAAAGGGGGGTTGTAAGGGGGCGCAGCCCCCTTACTAAAAAAAACGTAAAGAGAAAGGGGGGTTGTAAGGGGGCGCAGCCCCCTTACTAAAAAAGAACGTAAAGAGAAAGGGGGGTTGTAAGGGGGCGCAGCCCCCTTACAAAAAAAAAAACATAAAGAGAAAGGGGGGTTGTAAGGGGGCGCAGCCCCCTTACTAAAAAAAGAACGTAAAGAGAAAGGGGGGTTGTAAGGGGGCGCAGCCCCCTTACTAAAAAAAACGTAAAGAGAAAGGGGGGTTGTAAGGGGGCGCAGCCCCCTTACTAAAAAAGAACGTAAAGAGAAAGGGGGGTTGTAAGGGGGCGCAGCCCCCTTACTAAAAAAAACGTAAAGAGAAAGGGGGGTTGTAAGGGGGCGCAGCCCCCTTACTAAAAAAAGAACGTAAAGAGAAAGGGGGGTCGTAAGGGGGCGCAGCCCCCTTACAAAAAAAAAACATAAAGAGAAAGGGGGGTTGTAAGGGGGCGCAGCCCCCTTACTAAAAAAAGAACGTAAAGAGAAAGGGGGGTTGTAAGGGGGCGCAGCCCCCTTACTAAAAAAAACGTAAAGAGAAAGGGGGGTTGTAAGGGGGCGCAGCCCCCTTACTAAAAAAGAACGTAAAGAGAAAGGGGGGTTGTAAGGGGGCGCAGCCCCCTTACCAAAAAAAGAACGTAAAGAGAAAGGGGGGTTGTAAGGGGGCGCAGCCCCCTTACTAAAAAAGAAACATAAAGAGAAGGGCGGTTGTAAGGGGGCGCAGCCCTGTTCTTTATAAAAAGAATAAAAAAAAACCTGTACGTTAAATGTCATGTCAAGTGTCATTCCTAATTTTTGTATTGATATTTTTGATATTGGTACTTGCCTTTATTCGTAATATACATTCGATAAAAATAATTGAATCCCGTTGTTATTGACAATTCAATTGGTTTTCGCCGACATTTTCCTCAAGAATTTTTGAAGCGATTTTTGTGTCGATTTTTCAGTTTCATGTGCGATTTTCATTGATAATTAGGTAAGTAAATCATTTTAAATTAAACAATACTTCAATTAAAAGGTATTTTTAGTTGTATAAATATTGCTTTTTATTAAATGTATGTTTTTTATGGTATTACAGGAACGTTCGACCTCCATTTCTCGCAACGATGGATACTGAAAAAGGTAAGGAATTAATTTTTATGAGAAAGACCCTTTTTTTAATGATTTTTCTTTATTTTTAGGTATATTGAAGCCTATACAAACCTTCCCAGAGAGGATTAGCATGCAAGAGGAATGTTCTTACAGTTAATCCGGATTATTTGGAAAGTTTCATGACAATTTCGACCGATTTCTTCCTTTTTAAAGGTAAGGTTTGAATTTTCTGTAACAAGAAACCCTTTTCTTACGATTTTTCTGTATTTTTAGGAATGCTGAAGCCTTCCGAGAGAGCGGTAGAACGCAAGAGGAATGTTATTGCCGTAAATTTGGATAATTTGGTGTGTTTTATGGGACATTCGACCGTTTTGTTGGCTTTTCCAGACTGCTCGGCCTACAAAATGGATACTAAAAAGGTAAGAATTGAATTTTCTATGTGAAAGAACCTATTTCTAACCATTTTTTTACATTTTTCAGGGATCTGATGCCGTTTCAAGTCTTCCGAGAGAGCGGTAGATCGCAAGAGGAATGTTATTGCCGTAAATTTGGATAATTTGGTGTGTTTTATGGTACATTCGACCGTTTTGTTGGCTTTTCCAGACTGCTGGGCCTACAAAATGGATACTAAAAAGGTAAGAATTGAATTTTCTATGTGAAAGAACCTATTTCTAACCATTTTTTTAAATTTTTCAGGGATCTGATGCCGTTTCAAGTCTTCCGAGAGAGCGGTAGAACGCAAGAGGAATGTTTTTGCCGTAAATTTGGATAATTTGGTGTGTTTTATGGGACATTCGACCGTTTTGTTGGCTTTTCCAGACTGCTCGGCCTACAAAATGGATACTAAAAAGGTAAGAATTAAATTTTCTATGTGAAAGAACCTATTTCTAACCATTTTTTTAAATTTTTCAGGGATCTGATGCCGTTTCAAGTCTTCCGAGAGAGCGGTAGAACGCAAGAGGAATGTTTTAGCCGTAAATTTGGATAATTTGGTGCGTTTTATGGGGACATTCGACCGTTTTGTTGGCTTTTCCAGACTGCTCGGCCTACAAAATGGATACTAAAAAGGTAAGAATTGAATTTTCTATGTGAAAGAACCTATTTCTAACCATTTTTTTACATTTTTCAGGAATCTGATGCCGTTTCAAGTCTTCCGAGAGAGCGGTAGAAAGCAAGAGGAATGTTATTGCTGTAAAATTGGATAATTTGGTGTGTTTTATGGGACATTCGACCGTTTTGTTGGCTTTTCCAGACTGCTCTGCCTACAAAATGAAATGGTAAGGATTTAAGTTACCCGTATATAGAAAAAAGAGTACTGTTGGATTTTTCTTTTCCTTAAAAATTTTTTATTTTGCAGGATTGGCACGGGATAATAAGAAGCAAAGGACAACTAGTAGCTTGGAATAAACCCCCAACAACAATTGGAGGCATATTTTGGATTTTTTCTGCCATTTTCAACATTAACCGAACAACCCAGTACTTCGATCGGAGAACCTTCGAACGATGAAATATTATGCTAAAAAGGTATGTAATTACTAATAATTCGTTAAAAAGACAAAATATCATTCGAATACATTCATTTGGAACAAAAATTATAAAAATAACGTAGTATCGAATGATTTTTTGTTACCTGTAGTATGAAAAGTAGGGTTAGATTTTCCTTTTACTTAAAATTTCTTTATTTTGCAGGATTGAAACTGGAAAAAAGGAGGCAAACAGCAACTGGCAAAGCAACATAACCCACCAGGAACAATTTGAACAGCATTCTGGAGTCTTTTCTGAAGGCTTTTTTTCCATTCAATCGAACAACAGTGTTGAAGAACCTTCGTAAACAATACATTAATATGTTAATTGTGAAATGTTTTAGTAATAATTAAAATTAATCGTTATTGAACTAACTGTTTTAGTTATTTCTACTAATTTAATCTCTTGCAGGAAATTAAAAACATTAATAAAGGACGTTTAACGTTTATCAACATGAAACTATCAACATGTCAACTGTCAAAAACAAGTTTTAAAGTAGAAGAAGAAATAAAGGCCTTTTACTATTCGGGCCAGTGTCAAGAAAACATTCATAGTCTTTTACATCGCGCAAGGGGGTTGAAAGGGGGCGGAGCCCCCTTTCCGAGCGTTTAGCGAGTCACTATATATATAAAACCCCAGGTGATATAGACTGATTGGAGATCGAAATTAAATTTGAATTACTTGGGGGTAGAGAGGTAGTTGGGGGGACGTAAACGGATGCGCTCTTTTCGAAAATCGACCTCATTTCCCCAGCTAAATTCGTTTTCGTTCACAATATCGATTTAAAGTTGAAATTTTTGACACATTTTCCAAAAAATTATTTGATGGACGATTTGCGTTCGTTTAGTTTGAACGGAACTTTATCGCGGTGCAAGATTTTTTCTTAATTCGAACCTTTTAGCCGCTTTCAACGGTTGAATATGAAAGAATATACAATAATTTACTAACCTCCCAATTTTCTGCTCATTTTATTGACGAATAACGGAGAAATGTTTAAATTAATTTCGAAAAGTGTACACTAATGACAGCGACAAAGAACCAACCTCACATTGACTGAAAATGTCACTGACGTTTCTAAGGAAACGTCGACTGGACATTTGATGTACAGGGTGTTTTTACGTTAAGGAAATGTGAAAATTTGATGTACAGGATGATCACGACCGAGCGAGCGCAGCGAGCGAGGCTCCGGCTAGCAAACTGTCTTGCGGCGAAGCCGCCACCGTAAGAAAGGGGGGTTGAAAGGGGGCGCAGCCCCCTTTCCGAGCTGATAAGCGAGACTATATATATAAAACCCCAGGCGTTAACGATGATTGGCGACAGAAATTCAAAAATAATTACTTGGGCATCAAGAGGTAGATGGGAAGACGTAACAAAATTCGCTGATTACGAAAATCGACCTCTTTTCCCCAGCTAAATTCGTTTTCGTTCACAATATCGATTTAAAGTTGAAATTTTTGACACATTTTCCAAAAAATTATTTGATGGACGATTTGCGTTCGTTTAGTTTGAACGGAATTCTATCGCGGTGCAAGATTTTTTCTTAATTCGAACCTTTTAGCCGCTTTCAACGGTTTAAACTGAAAGAGTATACAATAATTTACTAACCTTCAAGTTTTCTCCTCATTTTATTGACGAATAATCGAGAAATGTTTAAATTAATTTCGTAAAGTGTACACTAATGACAGCGACAAAGAACAAACCTTACATTGACTGAAAATGTCACTGACGTTTCTAAGGAAACGTCGACGGGACATTTGATGTACAGGGTGTTTTTTCGTTAAGGAAATGTGAAAATTTGATGTACAGGATGATCGCGACCGAGCGAGCGCAGCGAGCGAGGCTCCGGCTAGCAAACTGTCTTGCGGCGAAGCCGCCACCGTAAGAAAGGGGGGTTGAAAGGGGGCGCAGCCCCCTTTCCGAGCTGACAAGCGAGTCACTATATATATAAAACCCCAGGCGTTAACGACCGATTGGCGAGAGAAATGCAAAATGAATTACTTGAGCGTAGAGAGGTAGTTGGGGGGACGTGAAAAAATTCGCTGATTACGAAAATCGACCTCTTTTCTCCAGCTAAATTCGTTTTCGTTCACAATATCGATTTAAAGTTGAAATTTTTGACACATTTTTCAAAAAATTATTTGATGGAAGATTTGCGTTCGTTTAGTTTGAACGGAACTTTATCGCGGTGCAAGATTTTTTCTTAATTCGTACCTCTTAGCCGCTTTCAACGGTAAAAACAGAAAGAATATACAATAATTTACTAACCTTTACGTTTTCTCCTCATTTTATTGACGAATAAACGAGAAATGTTTCAATTAATATCGAAAAGTGTACACTAATGACAGCGGCAAAGAACCAACCTCACAATGACTGAAAATGTCACTGACGTTTCTAAGGAAACGTCGACGGGACATTTGATGTACAGGGTGTTTTTACGTTAAGGAAATGTGAAAATTTGATGTACAGGATGATCGCGACCGAGCGAGCGCAGCGAGCGAGGCTCCGGCTAGCAAACTGTCTTGCGGCGAAGCCGCCACCGTAAGAAAGGGGGGTTGAAAGGGGGCGCAGCCCCCTTTCCGAGCTGACAAGCGAGTCACTATATATATAAAACCCCAGGCGTTAACGACCGATTGGAGATCGAAATTAAATTTGAATTACTTGGGCGTAGAGAGGTAGATGGGAAGACGTAAAAAAATTCGCTGATTACGAAAATCGACCTCTTTTCCACAGCTAAATTCGTTTTCGTTCACAATATCGATTTAAAGTTGAAATTTTTGACACATTTTAGAAAAAATTATTTGATGGACGATTTGCGTTCGTTTAGTTTGAACGGAACTTTATCGCGGTGCAAGATTTTTTCTTAATTCGAACCTCTTAGCCGCTTTCAACGGTTAAAACAGAAAGAATATACAATAATTTACTAACCTCCAAGTTTTCTCCACGTTTTATTGACGAATAACGGAGAAATGTTTAAATTAATATCGAAAAGTGTACACTAATGACAGCGACGAAGAACCAACCTCACATTGACTGAAAATGTCACTGACGTTTCTAAGGAAACGTCGACGGGACATTTGATGTACAGGGTGTTTTTACGTTAAGGAAATGTGAAAATTTGATGTACAGGATGATCGCGACCGAGCGAGCGCAGCGAGCGAGGCTCCGGCTAGCAAACTGTCTTGCGGCGAAGCCGCCACCGTAAGAAAGGGGGGTTGAAAGGGGGCGCAGCCCCCTTTCCGAGCTGACAAGCGAGTCTAATATATATACAGCTGAAACCGACACTCATTCATTCACTGACTGATTGGCGTGTTTTTTTTTTTACGGCTTTATTCGGGGCGTAAAAAAACGGAAAAAAATCCTACCCTACGTAAATCGACGAGATCTATCGGAAAATCGACATTTCGAAACCCGGAAAAGTTTCCTTCCGGGTAAAAAACCGGATTTTCCCCTTTTTTTTGGAGTTTTTCGGAATTTCTCGAAAAGTACACCCACGATTTTTTTTAAACTTTCCTAAAATATTCTTCATTTAATTACTAATTACCTCCCGCAAACCGCATTTCCAACTAAACCTTAATTTCCAAGTTATAGGGAAATGAAAATTTTCCCGGATTAAAATTTTAAACAAATACACTCCATTTACTCGGAAACTATTGCGTTTTCGAAAAAAAATTATTCTTTCAAAATTGTTAATTGAAGTTTCTTTCAACCAACAAAAAAAACCCGATTATGATATCTTAACCCGTTCCGGAGTTATAGCAGAAAATCTTCGTCGATGCACCGGGATACGGGAGAGAGGGATTCCCGGCCGGTCGCTATGCTAGCGCGTGTGACGTCACATCGAGACACAAAGAGAACGGAGAGGGGACCGTCGTCGCATTTCCATCGCTCGGCGAAATGCTGGCTTGAAATTTTTTTTTTTCGGTTTCGGTTCGGTCGGACATTTTGATTTCGAATAATTCGACTTGCCGACGGGAAAAGTTGCCGCCGTTCGAACTACTTAGTTTCTCATTTTCGATGGATTTTTTACGTTAAATATAAGGTAAGTGAATTTATATGACGAATAAATAACTCTATTAATAATTTCCTACGATATTTAAATGGTTTTTTCTAGAAATTGTAACGATGGCAAACGAAGAAAATCCTTCCTTCATACATGTCGATATATTTGGAGGAATACTACTTTCTGAACGTAAGAACCGTTTACTACGTATGGATATGCAGAAAGAGGACTAATCGTGCTTCGATTATATGAAAAATGAACAAAATCGGTCAAGAAATAATGAAGTTGGGTACAAAAACGTTATACAGGTTAGTTACCCGTAGAATGAAGAGTAAAGTTTTTTTTTAATTACAAATATATTTTCCTTATTTTGTAGAATTTACACCGGAAAATGGAAAAGAAGGAAGCAAAGGACAACTACTAGCTCGAAATAAATCGCCAACAACGATTTGAGTCATATTTTGGATATTTTCTGCCTTTTTCCACACTCAACGAATAACCCTGTACTTCGATCGAAGAGTCTTCGAACACAAGAATAGTATGTTTAATAGGTAAGTACTTACTAATAATAGGTTTATAATACAAAATATCATTCGAATACATTAATTTTGAAAAAAAATCATAAATTTAACGTATTTACGAATGATTTTATGTTATACGTACAATGAAGAGTAGGGTTTTTTTTTTCCTTTTACTTATATTTTCCTTTTTTTTTGTAGGATTTACACCGAAAAATGGAAAAGAAGGAAGCAAAGGACAACTACTAGCTCGAAATAAACCGCCAACAACAATTGGAGTCATATTTTGGATTTTTTCTGCATTTTTCAACACTCACCGAATAACCCTGTACTTTGATCGAAGGTCTTCGAACACAAGAATAATACGTTTAACACGTAAGTACTTACTAATAATACGTTAATAAAACAAAATATCATTCGAATATATTAATTTTGAAAAAAAAATCATAAATTTAACGTATTTACGAATGATTTTTTGTTATCCGTATAATGAAGAGTAGGTTTTTTTTTCTTTTACTTATATTTTTCTTATTTTGTAGGAATTACACTGGAAAATAGAAAAAAATAGGAAGCAAAGGACAACTACTAGCTCGAAATAAACCGCCAACAACAATTGGAGTCATATTTTGGATTTTTTCTGCCTTTTTCAACACTCACCGAATTACCCTGTACTTCGATCGAAGTGTCTTCGAACACAAGAATAATATGTTTAATACGTAAGTACTTACTAATAATAGGTTAATAATACAAAATATCATTCGAATACATTAATTTTGAATAAAGATCATAAAAATAACGTAGTTACGAATGATTTTTGTTATCCGTTCAATGAATAATAGAGTTTTTTTTCCTTTTACTTATATTTTCCTTATTTTGTAGGATTTACACCGGAAAATGGAAAAGAAGGAAGCAAAGAACAACTACTAGTTTGAAATAA